ACAAAAAATCAGATCAAAACCAATCTTTTTATATTTTTTTCAATTTATTTGATTTAATTTAACTTTTAAATAGTAAAAAATCAAAATAAATAAATAAAGCAAAAGATGTGTGGATGCTGATTTGGGTCGTGGACCATGTCTTTAACAAGATGCAATCATGAGAAGTTAGGCCCATTTGACAAAAAATGCAATTTTGGGCACATTTGACTTTTGACAATTTTCCAAAAATGGCCAACTTTGACAATGCATAACTCCTCCAATTTTAATCCTAGAGAGGTGTTATTTGAATTTTTAGAAATATTAGGATGTCCCCTAAACAACCCTTTTGGTTTCATCTCAATTGGGTCTTCCATGTTCATGTAAGAAGCTTTGACCCAAAAGGTGTTTTGTTGACTTTTCAAAAGGATCTATAATGTAGAAATTCATATCTTTTGATGAGTACATATTTTGAACTTGTGGGATGAAGATGAGTTGTAGGGAATGACATCCTCTTCAAAATGAGCCTTGGATGGAAAATTTCTAATAAAGTATGAAGAAGTTATGCCTGGTCAAAGTTTGGTTGAGTTTTCCTGTGAAACCCTAATTTAGCAACTTTTGGGTTTTGATGAATTTGGGGCATTCCTTGAGGAATCATGATCAACGCTTGATAAAATGATGGATATCACTTCAAAATGTTGATGTTAACCAAAAATCTTAAAGTTTGACTGTATGTGGGCCACGATTGACTTTTGACCTAGTATAGTTGATTTTCAGGCATCTGAGCAATTGACTGAGCAAACTTCTTGTGCAAGGCATGAGACTTGACATGGATGATCTTGAGGACACATTAGGACCATGGAAATCATTTGGGGCCTTTGGAGTTCACACATCTTGATAAAAATGGAAACCCTAGTTTGAGATTCATTTTTTTGGGAGAGAGTTTGTCTGGTCAACTCTTGGGCATCCTTGAGAAAGTTGGGGACCTCAATGGGCATGTGTTGAGTAAAATGAGAGGGTAAATTTTGGGGTACAACAATTATCATTAAAACTATTTTCTTCATAAAAATCTTTTTCACATTCTTTTTCTATTTTCCTTTTTCTTATTCTTAGATCAAGATGTATAGGTCACGTGTTTTCTATGTAATAACTTAGATCTTTATTTCCCGCTTTTTTTATTATCATATAATTGCTTCCGAGATGTAATAGTTTAGGGTTTTATTTCTCGCACTCTTTATTATTATGTAACTTCCCCAAAGCTCTGTAATAGTTTTAGGTTTACGTTTCCGCCTTTACCTTCTGCTATTATATTTCTATGCAACTGTTAGTAATTAGGGTTTGTATGGAAAGACAAAAACAAACACTAGAAAACCCTAATTTCAAGATAAATAACTAAATCAAACACACTTGCACACTTACACCTTTAGGGTAACATCCCTTCTTTGCCTTTCGAAATAACGGCCATACTCCTCGAAATAATGGCCATGCCCCTTTCAAACATAGTCCATCGACGACCCTTCAATGTTGCCTACGAAAAATGATATAGTCCCTTACGAAACTGCTAAAGCATCCTTACAAGTTGCCTTCGATGACCGTACGATGACCCTTCGCCCGTCCCTTCCGTCCAATGGATAGGGATACCTACCAACTAATGGTATGGATAGAACTCTCTCTAAAGGAGAAGGAAAATAATAAGAACGACCTTGAGTGAGTAGGATAGTTTTAATCGCCCGCTCACAATATTTTCTAAAAAAACATTTCTGACATAACACTTTTAAAACAACAAATATTTTCAAAACACTTTGTACGCGTTCTTGAGGACTGATACAAGAATCATTACAAAGTTAGTTGTACTTTGGCTTTTTCAAAATATTTTCAAACAAAACACTTACATAAAAAAGAAATTTTCAAAAGTGAGCTAGCGATTAAGTGTCCATAGATAACTACGGATGAAAAGGGTGCTAACACCTTCTCTTTTCATATCTTACCCCCCCGAACTCAAAATCTATCAAGGTTTTTCTGTTCTTTTCATCCTTTACTTATTGGATAAAAGAAAAGTCGGTGACGACTCTTGTTATCCACAATATTTACGATAAAACGCAAAAAAAATTAGTTCTCTGCCGTATTATAAACATGCTTCAAACCATGTTCATTATCGAACAATTTTTCCTCTTGGAACCACCATTCTGCTGAGGCGTATATGGTGGAACAACCTCACATACTATACCCTCCTCCTCACAATAACTCCCAAACTCATTCGAGGTATACTCATCTCCATCATGCATTTTGATAATTTTAAGTTTGTGACCACTTTGTCGCTCAACCGTGGACTTAAACTTCTTAAACACATCAAATACCTCATCTTTTCTCTTGATTAGGTATGTTCATAGTTTCCTACTAAAACCATCGATAAATGTGACAAAGTACCTATTACCACTATACGAGTCAACTTGTATTGGACCACACACGTCTGAGTACACCATCTCAAGGTGATGTTTGGTCCTATGACATGCATCCTTTCTGAAACTACTCTTGTGTTGCTTTCCTTGAACACATTCTTCATATATCTCAGTTGGAACATTGATTTTTGACAACCCGATTACCATATCATTCCTTTGTAACACGTCGAGGTCTCGAAAATTGAGATGTTCAAGATGATAGTGCCACAACCACTCATCACGACTTGCCGCTATAGCAGAATACCTATGCTCCATAACTTTCAACTCTTTCTTGAAAGTCCTATTGGCAGCAATGGGTGCTTTAAGGACTAAAATTCGGTTTAGGTCCAAAACGCGCAAAATCTTGTTTTACATGCGAATCATGTAATTTTTCTCAAGTAATTTTCCAAGAGTCAAGATATTACATTTAATTACATGAATGTATAACACATCTTTGATCAAGGAATGACTCTCATACCTTCTCATAATCTAAACATCATCGACCCCGTCGGCCGCTAAAGTGGTGTCATCCGCAAATATCACTTTATTCTTCGTGGCTTGATTGATTTTGATAAACCAATCATTTCTACCCGTCATATGTGTTGAACAACTAGAATCCAACTTCCACTAATCATTTCCTTGGATTTTATCTCGGACCGTTACCATTACGTTTTGCTCCGAGCGTGTTACTATATCATTTTTCGAACTACTACAACTGATGTCTAGCAACTTGCAACTCTACTACTGTTGTTCAATAGCTTATTACTGCCATAATTCTCCTCTATGATCATGACCCGAAGCGTGTTATCATCATCCACCTCCTGTCGAGCAACCTTTGCCTCATCGCTTTGATTTTCTCTTGATTTCGCGTTGCAATCTCTTGTGAAATGACCATGTCTATGGCAATTGTAACACTTCACATTACTCTTGTCAATCTTCTTGGTGTAGTTGCTTTGACCACTACCTTTGGAGCTGCTCTCACCTCTTTTCCCTATCAAAGCTTTCGAATTTTGTAGATCTTTTTCACCAAAATTCTGGAAATTTGTCTTCACTTTTGAAGACCATTTTCCCTTCGATCTTCTACTCTTCTCGTTGAACCATGCTTGCAATGCAATCTCCTCTTTAGCTTTGTCATTTCCTCTTTCATCCATCCTTTGTTCATGAGCCTCAACCGAACTTTGAAGCTGCTCCTTGCTCAATGTCGGAAGGTCCTTTGATTCTTCGATTACAACCATAATATTGTCGAATCTTGACGTTAAAGAACGCAAGATCTTTGATACAACATTCTGCTCCGAAACAGTTTCTCTGCAAGACTTCATTTGATTCACCAAACGTGTGATGTGCGTTACGTAGTCGTTGATTGACTCCTTCTCTTCCATTTGAACCAATTCAAATTGTCGCTTGTGAGTTTGTAAGCTCACCACCTTTATTTTATTAGCCCCTTCATAAGCTTTCTTCAAGATCTCTCATGCTTACTTCACCGAATTGCAATCGCCAACTTTTTCGAAGTTGTCATTGTCGACACAAGAATGAATCAAAAAGAGTGCTTTGTAGCCTTTCTTCTTCTCTTCCTTCCTTGAATGTAGCCTTCTAAGCATCTGTAGCTTCTTCCCCAAGTGGTGTAGCACCATTGTTAACCACTTCAAGAACGTCTTGATACCCAAACAAAACTTTTAGTTATTTGCACCACTTATCATAATTCTTTGAATCAAGGGTTGGAAGATTAGTAGGGACTCAATCATTGGAAACAATAGTCATCTTTGCAGCAGATTAATGGATCAGAACCAAGGCTCTTGATGCCAAATATTGGAACATACACAAAATTAAGTTGGTGAATCAATGGAGAAAAGTGGTTAATTGGAGAAGATGAAATGAGAAAATAAGAGAGTAATTGAAGTTTGAGGAAAATATTATCAAATATGACATTACATTCAAACATTATATATGAGGGTCCTTGTATACAAGCTAACAAAACAAGTTGGAAACTAAAACAACTCCAAAATAAACCAAAAATCCCAAAACACGGACTTGTAATCGACTACGGCTGCGGTAACAGGAAAAACAGAAACAAAATTTGTCTTCGTAATCGATTATGCATATTGGCATAATTGATTACGCCCATGAAACAACAACTCTCTGCCTTTCAAAAGTGCTTATTTTTTAAGTTATTTTCACCAGAATAGTCCCAGAAACTTATATAATGTATTTGAATTACTTTCTGCATGCAATAGCTGTAACACACAGAATGTACACAAATTGCACCTAGTTTTAAACTACCTCTGCATACAACATTTATTTTCTCACTACATTTATGACCTTATATGTCAGTCGAGTCTATAAATAACAGAACTTAATAAACACGATCATACAAAACAAATCATAAAATTGAGAAACTATTTCACTTTTGATGTCTTTTATGTGAAATTTCATGCAAATATTCTATCAGCATGGCTCAGTTTATCAATAATATACAACATTGCCAAACACTATTGTATAGCTCTGTTAATGTAAAACTAAATTTATATGTATTTATGTGAGTACAATAACAACAACAAAGGAGAGATAACATCCTACAATAATGCAGATTTAGGTGAATTCAGCCATCCGCATCCATTTGACACATGACCACTTATCACCCTTGATTACAGGACAAGCACCTGAAAATCATCACAGATAGACATGCAAATTTATCTTTAAAACTATTAAGATGATAGTAATGAAAGAGCAACTAACTAACCATGCAAACTCAATGGATCAAAAGTTGAATCAGGCTTAATGCCCCAGAAAAGTATAGCATCACCCATCTTTGGCTTAATTGAAAGTCCTTCTTTTCCACAATCAGAAAGTTCATTCCACCAAGGAACTGAGCTAAAATCTCCTTTGGCAGCTGGAAACACTGTCTCACCCCCTTCTTCAACATCTGAACCGCATCATCAGAATACAAAAGTGCAGACCAATATCAGATTCATATCCAAAAAGAAAATTAAAGTCAACAATGAGTGAATGAAAACTAAAGTCACTTACAGGTACATCAGCATTGTAAAGTTGTTAGCGACGGTTTTCCAAGTCCCGCGCTAGAGTGCCTGAATTTCGCCATAACAGTTTTTGAAAATGAACGAATTGAAAGAGTTGAGTAAAGTAGAATCTGAAACAGTTATCTGTGGGTAGTTTTGTTTCCGTGCACTCAAAGTTGTTTCTTTTACTCATGTAACAAATACTACTGTGCAGATACTATAAATTATAAATTCAAATGTTATTTGAATTATTGTTTGAAAAATGCTATAACTAATAATATTTGCTTTATAGTAGTGAGAGAAATATTATAAATTTTGATTATATTTTAAGTATTTGAATAAAATATGTCTCATAATTTCAAGTTAAAAATGTTAAAAAGTTATTTTATAAAATTATTTTTATTTATGTCTAATAATGTTTTTGACTTGACTTATTTCAATCTAATATTCTATTCTTATATCTTTTCATATAATTCTTACACAAAATATAAAGTACAAAATCCATTTTTTAACTCCTTTCTAGATCTGTTCATTTTCTTCATATTATTTTGTTATGTGAGATCCATACTAAGAATATCATGTTAAATCGTGAAAATTTGTACTTTTAAAAGAAATAAATCCTACACAATATGCAAATTACTATTTTAAATTTAATACTAATATCTAAAGCAAACTTTGAATTCGAATATACTATAATTTAAAAATTCAAATGCTATCGCACGGGATTTTTATAAATAATATTACTATATAAATTTTAGTAAGATATAAAATAAATAATATATTTGATTATCAAAATATAACATAAAGATAAATTGACATACTTTAAATAAGTAATATAAGTAATACAAGATTTATTTTTTATAAAATGGTTAGATACTTTCAAGTTTCAATATAACTAATTAGGTGGATTATATGTCATGTTCACATCAAAGTATCTTCAATTATCTCTTAGATTAAAGTTTTTCTCATATTTCATAGAATTAGCTCAGACTTCTTCATCTGAGTTAGGATGAAAATCTCATGAGACTTAGGATCTTCTTTTAAAACGGTGAAAGGAACACAATCGGTAATAGGTAAACTAAGTAAGTAAGAATACTCTTCCAATACGGGCACAACTGATAATCAGGAAAAGTGAAACACCGACACAATGGATCATAGAACTGGACCAATGTAGAAAGAATATCCTCCTTCATCTTGAGCTTAATAAGAGGCACAATGGCTCCATACTTCTTCCGGAAATCTGTGGAACTCTCAATCTCAGGAATCAAACTCATCAATTCCTCTATCTTAGGATCCTTGAAACTGTACTTCTGAGTCTTTCTCCTTCCAAAATCCATGGTCAACAAAGTACCTGATTTTTGCAAAAGTCAAACTTAAGTTCCTTAAATCAACTATTTAAAGAATGCTCATGGGTGCATAAATGCATGATACAACAATCACACACAAGATCACAAATATGAGGGTTCATAGGTTCAATGTCACGAGTATGAAGTCAAAGGTACTATCCACAAGGTAAGGACTAGTGGTTTATCACCTGCCGAACAAGGTTCTAAAAAGTTCCCAAAGTAAATATTCTTCCTTCGGATATTACCAACGTCCTGATTAGCTCAGTAATTAGTAATATTCTCAGGAAAAACTCGTCTGAGTCTAGTATCCCATGACAACCAATTCTGGATTGCTACGTCATAGTCTCTGCATTACACCTAAAAGACCAAGATGGGTTAAGGGTTCTCTGGTCTTCAGCTTCTCAGGCTCCCAGGTCAAAAGCAACATGTATTCTTGATTGCTCGATAAACGAATAAGACAGTCAAAGGGGCCTCCACTGAGTGGGGGATCTCATGTCTCCTTTTTTGGATCTCTCCCTCAAAGTTAACATGATTATACTGCCCGTACTATCTTAAGTTTTCCCAAATCCGGGTAGCGGACTTATGAGAAATCACCAAGCATCATGAAAACCAGAAAAATCCAGACAAACATATATACAAAAAATAATAGCACATACACAAATAAACAAAGATAGGCTCAACTGTTGGAAGCGTTATAGCGGAAAGCAACAAAAATTTTGGAAATATTTATCCGGGAATTTATCGTGCCCACAAAGATTGGTTATTGAATTTTCGTTCGACAAATCTCTCGTTAATGAGTTTGGGGATGAATGGGTTTGTAAAGAAAATGTTATCAACAAAAAATAAATGTAAACAAAAGAAAAAAACTAAGGAAGAACTTATCAAGCCTGCATATAATCTACTCATCACAGACTTAAATCTACCAACCAATTACATTCAACCTAACAATACTCATCAATGTCACTATGTATTACTCACAACCTAAGTAATTTCTAACCCAAATTGAGAGACTGGCTGTATCACCAAGGAAATGATCTCTCTACCTCCTCAACAACATAGAAGACAACTATGTAATAGCACTGACGTTCTCTCAGCACATCAGAATCACACAGAGGCATTAAGCTCTGATACCCAAGTAAATGTCAGCTCCAAATCTATCTCTAGAGTTCAGAAACTAACAAATAATTATCCTAGATAAGAATCTAAGCAGTATATGTCTATAACAACTCAAATCCCTAGCACAAAGCAAACATCCAAGACAACAATCGATAAATACTTGTAAAACAAGCTTAATATAACGCCATGAGCGACAAATATACATAAGTTCAGAGTAAATACATGTACAAACTTAACACATAAAGAATACAGAAAGAGGAAGAGAAAGGAACCACAAATCTATCGGTTTATCAGTGCCGATTGATGAGCAATCCGACCTGGATCATCCGTATGCAAGCTTCAATGTTGTTTTCTAAGCTAATCCTATAAAAAATGAAGGGTGATGGAGTTGAGATAAAAAATACCCAAAAAATATGTTTTTACACCTAAATACGCATTTCTGACTGTCCAGCATCGCCCGACGACCAAAAAGCGTTGCCCGGCGGCCAAAACAATATTTTTCCCATGCTACAGCTCGCCTAGCATCGCCTGGCGACGAATGACAGGAAGTTTAAAAAACCAGCACAGTATTCTGCACTGTTTTGGCTATAACTTTTGAAGCGTAACTTCGATTCGTGCCTGGTTCGAAGCGTTGTAAAGCTTATTCAATGCTCTATCTAACAATGCCTCAATATCAAGATTGAATACCTAAAAAAATGAGATAAAATCAATTAAACTCAATAATATTTACATAATAACACAATAAATACACTATAACATAAACTATACCGAATATACACAAAAGTTGAGGTTTATTGACAAAAAGCAAATGAATTAAGCCGATGAGTGATAATTATTAACACTCAAATTCACAATAATTTAGCACTCATCAAAATCTCCCAAACTTAAAACATTGTTTGTCCTCAAACAAAGTCAAATAAACTTAAAGAAGCAAAAGATGATAATCAAAGAATCACGAATCAACAGGTTTTGAAAAACGAAAAACAAATGCTATGGCTCAAATGAAAAACGGTACACACGAAGAAATATACTTACCACTAAACTACAACGATAATGTAAACATGAGACAAATGCTAAATATAAAAATTATACCAAACATTCTAAAACAATACTAGTTCATCAATGAATCACACCTATCAAACACAATCACCGGTAGATGAAAAACACACAAAAATGGGGTATTTTCACTCATCCAACAATCTTGCAAACAATAGACTAAATTATGCATTCATCCAAAAATTTACATTAAAAATATAAAAGCAAGAATCTCAAGGGCTTTTCAAGGTTGTAATGTAGTTTGGTTAACAAACAATGAATAATTCCTAAAGCTAATAGGAAAAAAAAACTTGCCTAAACCTAAGGGAGTGATCAATTCACCAAATATTCAAACAAAAAAATTCCAATTAAACTTCTTCCAAATCCAAAATTTCACACCAAAGCACATCACTTATTAACACAATATTATTCGAACTCTTTTTGTTTTTCTTTTTCAAAACTTTTTGAATTTTTTTTTCTTTATTTTTCTATCTTTTCTTTTTTCACATTTTTTTCTTTTCTTTTTCTTTTCAACCTCATAAAAGTCAACTAATAAATACACAATCATTTTTATCCCCAACTTGAATCGAACCATCATCATAATGTGAATACCCCCTTTCTAAGGCAATGTAAAAATTCAAATACAAATCATAGTTAAGGGTCCAAGAAAACATCGAATCAACATCCATGCAAAAAGGGAAACTAAACACTCATAGACAAGAATTTAGCAAAAACAACATGAATATCGACAAAAAGCTCAAAGGATTACAAATGATCGCACACTCACACGGTGAATTGACTATTTGGCTAAGAGGTAGTTGTGCTCAAAATGGAACAAAAATTGCCCTGATCGCTTTCTTGCATTCGTACAATCAACACAAATAAAAGATTAAGCATAATAAAATCTAGTTAAAACAAGCATTGTGGTCTCCAGCATATGTGAACAATGGAAAGCTACCTCACAAAAAGGGTAAGAACTAAAGTAATTCACAAATGAATAAGTATACAAAAGAATGAATGGCATAAAAATTGTAAAAAGTCTAAGTATCATGAATATGCTAAATTATAGAAAGTGATAAACACATACCTCGAACGTGTACAAAACTTTAACAAAATCATTACCACGCATTTGCAAGTCAAAACGATCAAACTTGACCAATCACATAAATATTCTACAAGTTACCGGGCCAAAACTTGAGTGCAAACAACAACAAAAGAATTAGAAAAATAATACTCATACAAAATTTCAATGTATAAAGTTTATAATATATACAACGAACAAAAATCCTCAAGCTAAACACGACAAGCTTTCAGAAAACACAAATTGACATAACAAAATAGATACAAATAACGATATGAAAACCGAGTGAAAATAAATTAACAAGTTGAAAAGTGAAGATTTGAAATTCAAACATTTCCTTGTTTCAACTTGTTAAAGCACAAATCACCACACACATAAATAAATACAAACAAACATGTTTGTTTTATGTCGTAAGCTCGACGCCTTTATTGTGCGAGCTAGTAACCTTCTCTCATCATGACATGGTATTTTCACACTGCGCAAACCTAAAAAAAGTGTCATAACAATCACACAACAAACATTACGAAAATGAGATAATTCACAACAATACGTGAAAACACATATATGCATAAATATCATATACAAGTTAATATACAATTTCTATACAACATATACATTAATTACAAAACTCAACAAAAAAAAGAATTATCGCAATGTGAAGACAATAGAACCAATTCCTGACAACAACGCCATTTTGTTGGAAGCGTTATAGCGATAAGCAACAAATTTTTTGGAAATATTTATCTGGGAATTTATCGTATCCACAAAGATTGGTTATTGAATTTTCGTTCGACAAATATCTCGTTAATGAGTTTGGGGATATATGGGTTTGTAAAGAAAATATTATCAATAGAAAATAAATGTAAACAAAAGAAGAAAAAAAACTAAAGAAGAACTTATCAAGCCTGCATATAATCTACTCATCACAGACTTAAATCTACCGACCAGTTACATT